ACATGGTTATTTTATCAGAAATATGATATTCCAGGAAGCGTCTAAGGCTGCTCCAGAAGTACACATAGCTGTTATTCACAATCGCTAAAGACTAACCAAAATACCCAAAAAAGTTCAATCTGGTCCTCTGGACATTCAAAAAAACAAACAAAAAAAAAAAGCAAAAAAATATAGAAATGTTTCGTCTCTCATCCGAGAGACTTCCTCAGTCTGAGGTGCTGTATTCAGCTCAGTCTCTTAAATAGCACCTTCTCAGAGTGGATTAACCAGTTTGCTGCTGACAACCAAAACCAGCTGATCACATGCTCAAGAAGGACCATCAGCCTAACAATGGATCATTAGCACACTGATGGCTGTTTACTGTTCACAGAGGGCTGAGTGATACTAGCAATCACAGCATTGTAAGAGGGGGACAGTTGAACCTGGAGGCTCCGCCCCTGTTTAATGATGGACGGTTTCTTTTCACAAAGATGGCCTCCTTTACTCCTCTCTCAAACCATCGTTCTTCTCTGTCCAGGATGTGAACATCTTCATCCTTGAAAGAGTGACCGCTGGCCTGGAGATGAGTGTAGACCTCAGAGTCCTGGCCTGACGATGTTGATCTTCTGTGCTGGTCCATCCTTTTGGCCAGTGGCTGTTTAGTTTCCCCGATGTAAGACTGATCACAGCCCTCCTGACACTGAACAGCATACACAATATTACTCTGTTTGTGCCGGGGGACTGGATCTTTGGGATGAACCAGTCTTTGCCGTAATGTATTTTGGGGTTTAAAAGCCACTGGGACGTTATGTTTAGAAAATAAACGTCTCAGTTTCTCTGATACTCCCTCAACATATGGAATGACCACTGCTCTGGGTCTGGGTTCCTCCTTTTCACCTGATGGCTGACTGGAGTCAGGCTGATAGTCCTTCTTGACCATGTGAGCAGCTAGTTTTGGTTGTCAGCAGCAAACTGGTTGATCCACTCTGAGAAGGTGCTATTTAAGAGACTGAGCTGAATACAGCACCTCAGACTTAGGAAGTCTCTTGGATGAGGACGAAATGTTTCTATATTTTTTTGCTTTGTTATTTTTTTTGTTTTTTGAATTTGCAGAGGACCAGATTTAACTTTTTTGGATTTTTCTACCTGGATTATTGAGCATGCATCAGGATACTAACCAAAATAACTTACAGGATGCTATATATTAACTATGTTGCCTGAAATTATCAGTAAAAAGCAAAAGTTTAAAAATTTGAGCTTGGATAAACTGTCGAAGAGGAGACACGGGTCTCCCTTCCCATGGGCTCACCACCTGTGGGAGGGGCCAAAGGGGTCGGGTGCATTGTGGTGGTCAAGGGCGGGGACCCTGGTGGTCTGATTTTCGGCTACATAAGCTGGCTATTGGGACGTGGAATGTCACCTCCCTGGTGGGGAAGGTGCCTGAGCTGGTATGTGAGATTGAGAGGTTCCAGCAAGAAATAGTCGGACTCACCTCAATGCATGGCTCTGACTCTGGAACCAGTTTCCTTGAGAGGGGTTGGACACTCTTCCACTCTGGAGTTGCCCCTGGTGAGAGGCACAGAGCAGGAGTGGGCATACTTGTTGCCCCCCATCTTGGTGCCTGTACGTTGGGGTTCACCCCAGTGAACGAGAAGGTAGCCTTCCTCAGCCTATGTGTGGGGGGACGGGTTCTGACTGTTCTTTGTGCTTATGTGCCAAACAGCAGCTCAGAAGATTATCCACCCTTTTTGGAGTCCTTGGAGGGGTAATGGAGAGTGTGCCTCCTGGGGACTCCCTTGTTCTGCTGGGGGACTTCAACACTCACGTGGGCAATGACAGTGAGACCTGGAGGGGTGTGGTTGGGAGGAATGGCTCACCTGATCTGAACCCAAGTGGTGTTCTTTTATTGGACTTCTGTGCTCATCATGGATTGCCCATAACAAACACCATCTTCAAGCATAAGGGTGTCCATATGTGCTCTTGGCACCAGGACACCCTAGGCCGCAGTTCGATGATCGACTTTGTTATCATCTTATCTGATCTGCGGCCGCATGTCTTGTACATTCAGGTGAAGAGAGGGGCGGAGCTGTCCACTGACCGCTACCTGGTTATGAGTTGACTCTGATGGTGGAGAGGATGCCAGTCAGACCTGGCAGACCCAAACGTATTGTGAGGGTCTGCTGGGAACGTCTGGCAGAGTCTCCCGTGAGATGATGCTTTAACTCCCACCTCCGGGAGAGCTTTGAACATGTTCTGGGGGAGGTGGGGGACATTGAGTCTGAGTGGGCCATGTTCCACGCCTCTATTATCAAGGCAGCTTATCAGAGCTGTGGCCTCAAGGTTGTCTGTGCCTGTTGTGACGGTAACCCTCGAACCCAGTGGTGGACACTGGCAGTGAGGGATGCTGTCAGGCTGAAGAAGGAGTCCTATTGGGCCTATTTGGCCTGTGGGACCCCGGAAGTAGCTGATGAGTACCGGCAGTCCAAGCGGCATGTGGCTTGGGTGGTCGCTGAGGCAAAAATTTGGGTGTGGGAGGACTTTGGAGAGGCCATGGAGAATTACTTGCGTATGGCTTCGAGGCATATCTGGTCCACCATCCGGCGTCTTAGGGGAGAAAGCAATACACCACCAACACTATTTATAGTAGAGGTGGTGTACTGCTGACCTCAACTCGGGATGTCGTGGGTCAGTGGGCAGAGTACTTCGAAGACCTCCTCAATTCCACCAGCATGTCTTCCACTGAGGAAGCGGAGTCTGGGGACTTTGGGTTGGGCTCTCCAATCTCTGGTGCTGAGGTCACCGAGGTGGTTAAAAAGCTCCTTGGTGGCAGGGCCCCAGGGGTGGATGAGATTCGCCCAGAGTTCCTTATAACTCTGAATGTTGTGGGGTTGTGTTGGCTTTCCCCACTCTGCAATATTGCATGGACATCGGGGACAGTTCCCCTGGATTGGCAGACTGGGGTGGCAGACTATTCAAAAAGGGGGACCGTAGAATGTGTTCCAACTACGGGGGATCAGATACTTAAGCCTTCCTGGTAAGGTCTATTCAGGAGTTCTGGAGAGGAGGGTCCGTCGGATAGTCGAACCTCAGATTCAAGAAGAGCAGTGCGGTTTTCGTCCTGGTTGTGGAACACTGGACCAGCTCTACACCCTCAGCAGGGTCCTGGAGGGTGTGTGGGAGTTTGCCCAACCAGTCTACATGTGCTTTGTGGACTTGGAGAAGGCGTCAGACTTCATCCCTCGGGGATCCCTGTGGGGGGTACTCCAGGAGTATGGGGTACCAGGCCCTTTGATACGGGCTGTTAAGTCCCTGTACGACTGGTGTCAGAGCCTGGTCCGCATTGCCGGCAGTAGTCGGGCTCGTTCCCAGTGAAAGATGGACTTCTCCAAGGTTGCCCTTTGTTACCAATTCTGTTCATAACTTTTATGGACAGAATTTCTAGGTGCAGCCAAAGTGTTGAGGGGATCCGTTTTGGTGGCCTTAGGATTGCGTCTCTGCTTTTTGCAGATGATGTGGTCCTATTGGCTTCATCAGGTCGTGATGTACAGCTTTCGCTGGAGCGGTTCGCAGCCGAGTGTGACGCGGCCGGGATGAGGATCAGTTCCTCCAATTCCGAGGCCTTGGTCTTGAGCCGGAAAAGTGCCTTCTCCGGGCAGGTGAGGAGGTCCTGCCCCAAGTGGAGGAGTTTAAGTATCTTGGGGTCTCGTTAACGAATGAGGGAAAAATGTAACGTGAGATTGATAGGCGGATAGGTGCAGCGTCTGCAGTGAAGCGGGCACTGTACCGGTCTGTCGTGGTGAAGAGAGAGCTAAGTCAAAAGGCGAAGCTCTGAATTTACCGGTCGATCTACATTCCTGCCCTCATCTATGGTCATGAGCTTTGGGTTGTGACCAAAAGAATGAGATCTCAGATACAAGCGGCCGAAAAGAGTTTTCTCCGCAGGGTGTCTGGGCTCTCCCTTAGAGACAGGGTGAGAAGCTCGGTCATCCGGGAGGGACTCAGAGTAGAGCCACTGCTTCTCCACATCGAAAGGAGCCAGTTGAGGTGGGTCGGGCATCTGGTTAGGATGTGTTCTGGGCATGACCCACTGGGAGGAGACCCAGAGGAAGACCCAGGACACGCTGGAGGGACTATGTTTCTCGGCTGGCCTGGGAACACCTTGGGATTCCCCCAGAGGAACTGGCCCAATTGGCTGTGGAGAGGGAAGTCTGGGCCTCCCTACTTAGTCTGCTACCCTGCGACCCGACCCCAGATAAGCGGAAGAAAATGGATGGATGGATGGATAAACTGCTATGACAATTCTTAGACAAATTGTTTTAAAGGGATATTCTGGTCATTTTTAAGAGACATTTTACCAATTTGTAATTAATAGTTAGTATGTTATATCTGTGAGATTAGTTTTAGAGTACAGGGTATGGGGAAAAGGGCAAAAGTCTTTGTCCAGGCAATGTTAAAGGCCAGCCAAATGGGGGCCTATTTTAGATAATTACTGAGGCTTATAAACAACCTTTGCATGTTTGCATGTCATAGTTTACTTAGTGTGCTTCTGTTTTCTCTACCAAAATATAAAATTTTCATAATAAGACAGACAAATTCACCTGACCAGGTACAGCACATCAATCTGCCAACATCAAGCTGCCCTCTTCTTCAACTTTAAACGCTTTCATTTGTATGTTATCATTTCACTTCTTTCTTTTCCTGCTCCTTACCACCAATTTGTATTGCTTGTCATGCATTTACCTTCCTCTGAAATCACTCATTTTTCTTGTTTCCCTGTTTAATCTTTTCTCTCTTCAGTCACCAGTGTTAGTTTCAATAACATTTGTCCAGAGACTCGTGAGATATTTTACTAAAAACGCACACACACACACACACACAGGCACGCATGCACGCACACACACGCACACACACAGGCAATAACATTATTGTCCATCATCACCTTCCATGTCGGGTGATAATAAAGTTTTGACAATAATTCTCTCTGAGAGATTTTAATATCACATCATGTAGTCACGGTAACAGACAACACAATATTTGCACTTTCCAAAAGCAAAACCAAGAACACAAAATAGATTAATCTCCAGTAGACATCAGTCTTTTATGTACAGTGGAACCAGCTGATCTCATGAAGAAGACAATGTGGACAACAGAACGACAGAATGTGGAGACGATGAGCTATTTGATGGGTGACTCCAAAATCTCCTCGTACTCCTCCCTCTGGTGCCGCCCACCAACTCGAGAGGGAAGCAGCTTCAAGGCCACCAGCCAGCCAACACTCAGCACTATCATCACATTCCCCACCACCTCAGGTGCAGCAGGGACTGAAGAAAGCATGGCCAGATGAAGGAGCATGGCGATGGTTACTTCCAGGCTTTGAGAGGCTGAGACCAGAGCTGGGTGAAGACGGGTGAGACCGTGGGTCATTCCCAAGAAGGCTGCTACAGAGCAGACCACCAAACCCAGGATGAGGCCCCAGGCTGGAGCACTCAATGGCCAGGAACAGCCCTCATGGAGCAGAACTAGAGTTGCTGGAGTCAGCAGGCACCCGGTCCAACTCACCGTAAACAAAGCAGTACTGACTCCAACCCTGTCTTTCAGCGAGCGATACCCGACCAAAGCCAATGCCATCCACAACCCAGCAAGAGCTGAAAGAGACCATCCAAAAGCTCCTTTCCAGAATGCAACTGGGTCAACTGGTGAATTGGAAAAGCTTTCATCAGTAGTGGGAAGCAACAGGAGCCCCAAACCACATAGACCCACAGCTAGGGTTATCCCATCAGTCAATCCCAGTCTTTCTTCCAAGAGCAGGAAGGCCAGGGTTGCAGACAGTGCTGTTGTTGCCAGGCGCCATGTTGCTGCACCGTTTCCAGAGGAGATGAAGGTTAATGAAGAGTAGGCACAACAGAGGGAGAGGGAGTAGGCCACGCCATAGCAGAGCAAACGTAATCGATATCCCTTTGGTCCGAAAGGGTTCTGCCCCCTGTGCAGAGGCACTGCCAGAGATAGGAGCTGTACGATGGACCGCACCAAGAGGATGAACAAGGGTCCAAGGCCGAAGCGTTCTGAGGCGAGGCAGGTCAGAGCAATCAAACAGCCATGTGCCAGTGCAGCGCCAAGCAGTCCCAGCCAGGTGAGGCGAGACGCAGACACCGAAGCCTCACCAAAACTGGCCAACTGTTCCCCGACTCCTTTGCCAGACCCCTTTGCTGCTTTGGTTCCCCCCTCGCTCACTTCTCCTCCAGTAGGCTGGAGTTTATGGGATGCATCCTTGTTTTTGTCTTTAGAGCCGAACATTGTTAAAGGCCACTTCCTGCTTTCAGTCAGTTGTTTCCTGTCTGACGTCTCCTCCACAAAGGAACCAAAGTCCTCAAAAGATGGAGCATCATCGTAGCCTTCATCTCCAGGCTGGGGAAAGTGTGTGTGTATTCCAGGTTGCTGCGTGGTGTACTTGGCTGTAACTGTATGAGGATGGATCTTCACTCTCTTTTTGGGTCCACTTAAAAGGTGAGTGGACTCCATTTTAAAACCTCACCTACACCTGAAAGAGAAATAAAACACGCTTAAAATCATTTTCAAGTTCAAGGTCCAACATTCCTCCAAAGAATGCATGTCACCCACCATGCCAAAGTTTTAGCCTAGGTTTTTAGACTAATATAATCTTTTGTTGAAAAAAATGACCTTGAAATTAATGTGCACAACTTCATGCTACATCGCATTATGTCACGTATGTGTTGTAAATGACTCTCAGCTACTACCACATCAAACTTAACCCAAGATCTGTAAAGTTGACTGAGTCATTGCCATTTTTGTGTTAGAGTCGATTAGCTGAGGCTGATGTTTTGAACTGGACTGACTCCAAACGTTAAACATTTATATGTATATCCAATGATTATTTCTGAAAGTTTTATTAAAATTCATTCACTGGTTAAATATATATTTAGGTAATAAACAAACAGAATTAATTGATTCAGAATAGTTTATATATAGTCAGTTTGTGCTTAGATAATATGTTGGGTATCAAGCTGTTTGTCTCATCTGTGGAGGAGGACACATCACATGTGTCCCTGTGATAGACTGGAGACATGTCCAGGGTGTCTCCCACCTCTCACACAGTGATAGTTGGATATGGACATCAGTGACCCCCGTGACTCGAAAAGGAAGAAGTGGGTAAAGATAATGGATGGATGGATGGATGGATGGATGGTATGAGCTGCTGCCTTTCCATTTTTAGATCAATATCAATATAAATGACTGAGCCATAGCTACTTTTTTGTTTGATAAAATTGTTTAGCTGTGGCAGCCATCTTTAATCAGGTTGACTCTAACAGTTAATCAGTTGATGATTGCTTTCTGAGAGTTTGATGAAAAATGTCCACTGGTTTATGGGGTATTTTGCGAACATGAACACAGAGGCACATACAGAGACATGGGCAAAACCATGATCATTTACTTTTACATTGTGGCAATAAATACTCTCCTGCAAATCCTCCCACTCGTCACGCTGTCTGTCTCTGGGATCCATCTTGGTGTCTCATATATCTTTAATATCTGAGATAATAATAGCAGTGACTCATGCCTTCCAATGTCTGCCACTGAATGTACGTGAGCGTTTCACGTCTGACTAATCATCACTTTAACTGTTTTCTGTACATGCTAAATCCATACCATCTGAATTATATCAAACAAAAAAGGTCTTATCAGACCACTGTTTCTTCTGAGATAAGAAAACCTTCAAGGAGCTCTGTCTGTTGGCAATGATAGTTATGTAAGCAAGAGCTTCTTGTCTCATTTGTCTCATCTTTCTTTCTCTTTTGTCTGTTAAAAAATATTTCCTGTTAAAGCCATCACTTGATGTAGATCTAAAATGTATTCACTTTTGGAGTTGATTAAATTCAAGATGGCCATCACTGCTAATCAACATTAGGAAACACAGAAATGCCTATAACTCCGTCCGATTTATAGAAGTTGATCTAAAATTTCATGTGGTAGCTGAGAATCATTTAACTTTGCGCCTGACATCTCAAGATTTTGTATTAGGTTATTTTTAATATTTTATAACTTCTGTAACACAATGATTTCTGACTGTTTCAGGCTGTTCCAGTCAACCGAACATCAAGAAAGGTGCGTCACGTCATAAAAATTGAAGCCGTTCAAACATTGCACATGATCCAATAAGATCCACTGAGTTTAAACAGATATAACCTGATTAATGATCATTGTTGTAAATTGTTATTTGTTTATAGAGTGAATGCTGATTTAGTATTCACACTCGTTTCATTTTCATTTTTGGTACATTTTTTCATAGTCATGCTTTATGCTATTTTAGCAATTTATAAATCAACAAGTTCAGCTCATTCAAGTGTAGGGTGCTTTGACTTTTACTTTCTTATAACTTGTATATCTTTCAAAATATTTAACTCTATAAATATTTTCCCATAGAAGTACTTTCAATAAGCATTGTCTTTTTATGCTACATTTAGCTTATAGCAACCATTCAGCTACTTGTAGTTTTTAGCTAACTTTTTGTTACTTTTAACATATAGCTATCATTCTGCTACTTTAAGCATAAACTAGCATTTTGCTACTTTTGACTGGCCTTTTGATACTTTGAACCTATAACTAGACTTCTGAAACGTTCAGCCTTAAGGTAGTTTTTTTGACATTTTCAGATTTAGCTAGCCTTTGATGGATTAGATTTCTCTCTAGTCACCAGTGGAGCAGCACTTTTATTTCTCCAAGTGTTTTTATCAGGCATCTGTGTATTTTTGTTTCTCTGTGACTAGAAGCATTCCTGCATATTAGTGCAACTACACAGCATGAGGGCATTTAAATCCTGCTAGATATGTTTTACGTGTTAATGACTGTTCATGTTTTAAAAAATGTAATCAAAAATAGTATACGTAGTTGTCATATGCGTCGTGAGCGGTGGTGCAGGAAGATCACAGAGACTCAGAGAATAAAATAGAAATTAATTTATTGAGGAAAAACAAAACAAAGAAGTTGACGAAGCAGCAAAACTTACATGTGTGAGCGGGGAGACACGGAGGGAGACAGATCATGAAGCTTGGCAGGAAATAATGCCCAGACAACACAGAGATGCAGAACATAAAGGGACGCTAACAAGGAAACAATGACAGACACCTGGGACAGGACAATGAGGGACAGGTGCAGGAGGAGATGTTTTTCCTCACGCGCTCTCGTATGAGGCGGACGCTTTCTCTTCCCTCTCCTGTCCTCCTCCTGCTTTTTTGCTCTCTGTCTGTGTATCGGAGCTCCTGTTTTACACATCTTCCAAAATGAAAACTACTGTTATGGATCTGATCAACTGGACTTTCAACGCAATTGACAAAATCTTTTCAACAAAGCGACAGGGTCCTGGAGAGCCCTCATGTTCCACTGAGAATCTCAGTGGAACAATTGTGGCTTATCTGAATCTGACTCCCCTGGTTGCCCTCAAAAACAGGCTGACACATCAAGTTGTCCTGGGAAATGTGTAAATTAAGGAAAAGCTTTGTCTATCGCACCCCCCACCCCCAGAGAATGTCTATGGAGGCTTATAAGAACTTTGCCAGCTGAGCATATCAGGACTATGGTCTATCTGGAAGTGTTTCATGGACCGCCTTGCCATCAAATGCATTTGTAACATGTTCATAAATGTGCTTGCTGGCAGAGTTTTTTATGTCTTAACTCGTGTCCTGATAGGACAAAGTGTGAAGAGATCTGTTTTGTAATGCCACTGTCCTCTCCTCACGCCTTTGGTCCCTTTTCTATCTAAAAATGTATTCTGAAAAGGATAAGAGGCCGCGTAATCGTAGCAGCAGCTACGTCCAGTCTGCCCATCTTTCGCACGACTGAGCGGACATATTCTCGCTGTACAATGATAATAAAGTTTATTCTGATTCTGAGTTGACAACTCAAGGGTGAGCAAAAAAACAAAAGGGGTCACAAGACACTAAACAGACAGATCCTCACAACATGTTAAATTGTGAAGGCAGATTTCAGAAAAGTGTTGGTTGTCTTGTCTCAACAACTGTATTCAATACACATTATGAGTATTTTGTACTGGACTGGAGGGATGTAAAACTGGATTGTGTTCAGTTGACTGGTTTGAACTCTTATTGAACTAAAATGCCACAATTAGGAGGTTGTGTGCAATTCATTCAACCTTTATACAAGTTAATCCCATTGAGCCTCGGGGACTCACTCACAAGAGACACCTGGAGTGTGTGTTGTGCTAGCACCTCAAATATAGGTCCAAGCCTGTAAAATCAACGGAGTTAGAGCTGTTTGTGTGTTGTCTAAAATAAGTTTGCTGTGACGGCCATCTTAAATTAGGTTGTGTTCAAAAGTTCATACTTTTAGAAGTAATGCAATAACTGTTTCCCAAGAGTTTCATTAAAATCCATCCAGTGAGTCCTTCTTTAGATAGAGAACTTTACTTATTGGCTTTTTTATAAACGTGAATGTAAAATTCCCTGAGACAACTTTGTTGTGATTTGGTGCTCTATAAATAAACTGAATTGAATTGATTCATGAGATATTTTGCTAACAGACAACGCACACACTGACATGGGCAAAATAAATAAATAAACAAACAAACAAACCATAAAGAAGAAGAAAGAATCAGGATGATGTCTCCACAGTCAGATGATGCTGTCAGTGCTGCTGCCATCCTGCCACAACCCATGAGCAGCACCTTCACCATGTCACCAGCCACCAGGTGAACATGTCCTGCTGCTGACTCATTTTACAGCTGTTCTTTAATGAAATGATATTAATGGAGCAGCATGATGGTTCATTCTGCTGCTTCCAGAGCCTAAACTTGAACTAACCAGAAAATAACTGGAAATGTGCGTTTAGTTTGCGATGATGCGGCGTGACGCGTTCTTTTCAAGGTTATGCTTTTCTCCTGGGGTTATACCCACGATCACAGCTACGTGGACGCAAACACTGAAAACCACCCAGAATGCGCGCTCAGATTAAGAAGGCACCGTAATAACGCTATTCCTAATTCGATTGGATTTATTTCGACGGCACGCGGCGAAGCCAACACCTCCAGAATCAGCCGGTGGATTATGCTCGTGACAGGTTGTGCTTTGAATTAACGCATTAAATATGATGTAATAACTCCGTCGCAACAATTCAATCAAATTTTTGAATGGGGAAGAAGCGCGCGCCCGCTCATCGGTGAGCTGGCCGACAGCTGAACGTGAACGCGCTCTTGTTACCTGTAACACAAGACGAGCTTCAATCGTGAGTTGTTTCCTGAATTCACTCACCTGCTCCGCTTGAATCAGGTCTGAAGTTCACCAGCGGGTGCTCTGGTTTACTGAGCGCCTCAAACGCCTCATCACCTCGTGCTTGTCTCTTAATGTCCACTCCTTGTCCCCAGCGGTGCCGGGGTCTCCAGGGGCACTGCTCACACTACACCTCCCTCCGGAGACAGATGCTGTTTTCTGGGAGCCTGCTGTCCGCGTGCATCCCTCCCCCTGCTCAGAGAGGACACTGGGGGAGAGGGAGCTCTCATCCAGTGTGGGGGAGAGCGAGCTCTCATCCAGTGTGGGGGAGAGAGAGGGAGCTCTCATCCAGTGTGGGGGAGAGAGAGGGAGCTCTCATCCAGTGTGCGAGCATGCGCCGGAGCCTCTGCGTGTACCTCCCGCCGCTTGCAGCTCGAGGGCTTCATTGTGCACAAGAACAGGTCCCAAACTACATCACTTCAGATACACTTTCAAATTCAATTACAGTGAATTCAATTTGGATTAACTCATTTCAGTTCAATCTAAGAGAGTCACGTGGCGCAGTCGGTAGAGCTGTTCCCTCTAAGAGAGAAGGTCGCTGGTTTGAATCCCGGATGGAGGCCTCTCTGGGTGCAGTTTGCCTGTTTTCTCAGTGCATGCCTGGGTTTTCTCTGGGTGCACTGGTTTCCTCCCACAGACCAAAAACATGCATGTTAGACTGAATGGTAACTCTGAATTGCTCCTAGATGATGGTTGTCTGGCTCTGTCCCTGTGATGGACAGGAGATCTGTCCAGGGTGTACTCTGCCTCTCACAGTGGGCGGCTGTGGCTCAGTGGTTACAGCAGTCGTCCTCCCATGCGAGAGTTGGCGGTTTGATTCCACCAGCAGTCACATGCCCAAGTGTCCCTGGGCAAGACACTGAACCCCTCATAGCCTCTGATGTGTGTCCCATCAGTGTCTGAATGTGATAGAGCTCTGATTATTCTTTGTGTAGATCTAGTATAGAGCTGCATGAATGTGTAAATGAGGCACAGATTGTGTTGTAAAGTGCTTTGAGTATCTTGATGAGATAGAAAGGTGGTGTATAAGTGTTATAAGTGTATAATTGTTTATTGTTGTTGCTGTTGTCCATTGTTGTCATCTTTCTTTGTTAAATCAGGTCTCTCTTGTAAATGAGTCCTCGAGGCTCAATGGGATTTACCGTGTAAATAAAGGTTGAATGAATAAGTGCAGTCCATTTACAGTGAGTGCTGCATATGGCACCAGTGACCCCAGTGACCCATAAAGGAAGAAGCGGGTAAACTTAATGACACAATCCTCAGTCTTTAGACCCATTGGCAGGCAGGCGAGCAAGGCAGGAGCTTAAGATAAAATGATTTATTTTAAACAACAAAAAGGCTGGCGTGGCAGCATAAAACTTACAAAAAGGGATCAGGCAAAAACAAGACAGGCACAGATTCACACGGATAACCAGACCAACAGGAGCAGAGGAAGACTGGGTCGTCTGTGCATAACAGGACAATGAGCGGACGCAGAGTGGAGGAGAGAAGAGCTTTTTATAAGGAGAGGGGGTAAGTAGAGCACCTGGGCAGGTAGCTGATGAGGGACAGGTGTGAATGATAAAGACTGGAGAGGCACACTGAGGAATGAGTGGAAACTGGCAGAGAATACAGATTCAGAAACACCAGGACAGAATGAACCAGCACAATGTAAATAAATATAAAAAGCATAAGGGGAAGACAGAAATGGAAAGACAGACAAGGACAGAGTGTGACACTTAATGGATGAATTCAATTTAATTCTGTTCATTTAAACAATGCAGTCACAACAAAAATCATCTCAGGGAACTGTACAAAAATATTTGCCTTCATTATAAAGCCAATTAGTAAAATGTATCTATCCAAGGAAGCCATCAGACTGTGTTGGATCTTCACTTCACCACAGTCTCCCATCCTGAGCAATCACAATGACAACAAGATGGCCATGTTTACCACAGCTGCAGCTTCACAGGCTCCCAGTGAAAACCCAGTTTTTCTTAGTTTTGAAATTGGCTCCAAGCCCAACTCCGCATGCTTTAAGTGTGTGAATTATAGCCAAACCAAACTTATGAGCACAAGAGAAGGTTTGAATCCAGATGCTGTCCACTGCACCACCTGGGGATGAATGGATTAAATGCACAGATCCAATTTTGTCATTGCATGGGAACATACAATGATGACAACACATAACACATTATTATTATTATTATTATACAGCAGCCATAGACAATGATCTGAAAACTACATTCAGCAGATTACAGCTTCTACGGACATCAGTGTGGAGATCGCAGCGCTCTAACGGGAAGAGGACGCGCTGTGAGCGGGGAAAGAAAAGAGGGAGACAGGCTGGTGTGTTAGCAAGACAGAAAGCTAGTGCTAATAAACTCCCAATCCCATCTCTCTTCCAACGTTCGTTCTTTTGAAAGCAAGCCGTATCTGCTGCGACTGAGAGTGCATGCCTTAGAGGAGATGAAGAACTGCGCTGTACTCTGTCTCACAGAAACATGTCGTAATAACAACATGCCAGACTCAGCGTTCCAGCTGGATGACAGAAATTTTATTCGGGCAGATCGCTGCAGAGAGCTAACTGGGAAGGCACAGGGTGGTGGTGTATGTGTCTACGTGAACAAAGGTTGGGCCACAAACCGTGTTCTGATAAACAGTTCCTGCTCCGAGGCTTTAGAACAACTGACTGTGAAATGTCGACTGCATTATTTACCTCGTGAGTTTACGGCAGTGTATGTCATTGTTGTCTATATAGCCCCGGAGGCTAATGCTAAAGACAGTCTGCAGGACATAATAACATCAGCTCACTTCAAAACAAGCATCCGGAGGTTTTTAACATGGTGGCTGGTGATTTTGGAGTTCCTCAGCAGAAGTAAGGAGGATCTTCAGGAGGATTAATCCTCACAAAGCCACTGGCCCAGACAATATCCCAGGGAGGGTGCTGAGAGACTGTCGATCAGCTTTGCAAAGTGCTGGCCAATATCTTTAACTCCTTCCTCACCCTGGCAACTGTTCCCACCTGTCTGAAGACCGCCACCATCATCATAATTCCTAAAAGCGCTGCAGTGACTGGTCTGAATGACTACTGGCCAGTAGCCCTCACCCCAATAGTTGCAAAATGCTTTGAAAGACTGGTCATGATCCACATCAAAGCTACAATCGACATCCACGAGGACCCACACCAGTTTGCATGCCACAAGAATTGATCAACAGAGGATGCCATCTCCTCTGTGGTCCACACTGCTGTCACCCACCTGGAGCAGAATGACTCCTACGTCCGTATCTTCTTTGTGTAATGAACCCCTTCAACTCTGGACCAAAATCACCACAACAGAGAGACTTAGATTACAAAATTTACTGTAGAAGCCCTCGTTTCTCAAAAGTGAGTCTGGTTCTGGTGTCGATCACTGGGTCAAAGACTGGCATGAGTCTGTAGGCGGGAAGAGAACGGTTAGTGGCCAGGCAGGAGACAGAAGCGAGAGCAAATGTCTGAGAGAGGTAACCACTAACCGTTTCTCTGGTTGAAGGGGGCTCAGAAGAGAGGAGTCGTTCCAGCTGGATGGATTCACTGCAGGAGGGGTGATCCTGGTGAGAGGAGTCAGCCGGCTGCAGCGAAGAGACCGAGAATGGGTGGATGGTGATGAGGTGTTGAACCACAACGGCGTTGGACCAGCAACCGGTCCGTGAGGCAGATGTCGAGGTCAGACAGGCGAGGGTTGTTACCAGAGCAGGAAAGCGACGGTACCAAACAGGAGCAGGCAAGAACACGGTGTGAGGCAGGCGTGAGTCGAAAACCGGCGAGAGGAGACGTAGATCCGATGAGGAGCAGGCTGGAGGCGAAGTCAGGCGAGCAGGAGTCCAAAACCATGAAGCAGCACGAGGAGGTGAGGATATAAAGACCAGGAAGAGGGACAGGAGCAGGGCAGGCAAACAAACTAGGCAGGAGAGAAACTATGAAGGAACAGGAGACTATGAGGGAATCAGGAGACAGAAGCGCGGGATAACTACTGGCAGGTAAACTGTTTTCGACTCTCTGGCGCTCACTCTTCTTCTTCTTCTTCTTCTTCTTCTTCTTTTAATTTAATTGGCGGATTGCAAACAACGTTCAGGTGCATACCGCCACCTACTGAGCAAGAGTGTGTAGCTCATGGCCTCCTTTCCCTAAATTCTATTTTTAATATTTATGTTATGTAAATATATAAACAACTCTTTTCTAACATCACTTATTTTATCCTTCTCCCCGTCTGTTCCTAATATTCCTCCTAAACTCCATACTCTCCTGCCTCTTTGACTTTTTCTTTCAATCTCTCTCTTTCTTCTGAATATTTGATGCACTCCATCAGAACATGTTCCACACGTTCTGGTTCCCACATTCCTCACATCGACTGTTGTTCCTTTTCCCCGTCATGAACATTGTATCATTTACAAGTGCATGTCCAACCCTCATTATTCTCATTATCACCTCTTCTCTTCTACTTCTTTCTCTATAATTATTTATCTTAACTGCTTTTTGAATTTTGTATAATCTTCTTCCTGTCTTGTCCTCATTCCACGTTTTCTGCCATTTCTCTATTTCTTTTCCTTTAATTAATGATTTACCCTCTCCTTTTCCTAACATAATATTAACTGTTATTTCACCATTTAATGCCTTTTTAGCGAGTTTATCTGCTCTTTCATTTCCTTCCACCCCTCGTGTGCCTCATGCACCCAACACAACTGAACGTCCATGCCTCCCTGTGTCACCTGAACAATGCGAGCTGTATTTCTAGCAGAAGATCTTTCCTGTTGTTTCCTTTAGACTGAATGATTTCTACGACAGCCTTTGAGTCGGTGCATATCACCACCCTGTCCGGTCTAACCTCCTCCGTCCACTGTAGACTAAATATGACTGCCACCGTTTCTGCTGTGAACACTGAGAGATGATCAGAAATCCTTTTAGATGTACAAACTTCAAACTCTGGTACATAGACTCGTATTCCCGCCCACCCCTTTGTGTTCTTTGAGCCATCTGTATATATATTTCCAGGTAATTAAAATATGTCTCTCTAATGTATTTGCTGCTTTTCAGCCCCATTTCATTTTCGTTCCATTCTCTTTTCATTTCAAGAATTTTCATGTCTACTTTACTTTCTGGAATCAACCATGGAGAATTAACACTGTTTGGACTAATCTGTGCGAAATCTTTATTTCCTATTCCATATAATCCAGCTAGTTTGTTT